TAAACAGTAATACCTTATTATCTTTTAATGGCATTTATTCACTGCTGTAAATCAGAAGTGAAATACAATTTGTATTACCTTTTTATTTTTCAGAAGTCAAAAACTGTAATAAATAAAATAATCAAATGTGTGAATGTGTACAACTCACAACAATAATAAAACTCAACATTAATGCTTTAATGCAGGGCTGATTGATGAGCGGCTGTTGATGGTCATCAGAAAGGTGGTGAGAGAGAGTGCTGTGTGTGTGTGTGTGTGTGAGAGAGAGAGAGAGAGAGAGAGAGAGAGAGAGAGAGAGAGAGAGAGAGAGAGAGAGAGAGAGAGAGAGAGAGAGAGAGAGAGAGAGAGAGAGAGAGAGAGAGAGAGAGAGAGAGAGAGAGAGAGAGAGAGAGAGAGAGAGAGAGAGAGAGAGAGAGAGAGAGAGAGAGAGAGAGAGAGAGAGAGAGAGAGAGAGAGAGAGAGAGAGAGAGAGAGAGAGAGAGAGAGAGAGAGAGAGAGAGAGAGAGAGAGAGAGAGAGAGAGAGAGAGAGAGAGAGAGAGAGAGAGAGAGAGAGAGAGAGAGAGAGAGAGAGAGAGAGAGAGAGAGAGAGAGAGAGAGAGAGAGAGAGAGAGAGAGAGAGAGAGAGAGAGAGAGAGAGAGAGAGAGAGAGAGAGAGAGAGAGAGAGAGAGAGAGAGAGAGAGAGAGAGAGAGAGAGAGAGAGAGAGAGAGAGAGAGAGAGAGAGAGAGAGAGAGAGAGAGAGAGAGAGAGAGAGAGAGAGAGAGAGTGAGTGTGTGTGTGTGTGTGTGAGTGAGTGAGTGAGTGTGTGTGTGTGTGAGTGCTGTGTGTGTATGAGTGAGTGAGAGTGTGTGTGTGTGCGAGTGTGAGTGCTGTGTGTGTGTGTGTGTGTGAGTGAGTGAGTGAGTTAGTGTGAGTGTGTGTGTGTGTGTGTGTGAGAGTGAGTGCTGTGTGTGTGTGTGTGTGTGAGTGCCGCTCAGTGTCAGGTAGGCGGCTGCTTTCCTGCGGTCCAT